AAGAATTTTTGTTCTTTCCTTCCTGGTATTGACTAATTAGTACTAATTAACGTTAATTTAGCCTACTCTACTAGCATAAAGTCTTATTTGTAAAATAGCAACGCAACGACAAAATTCAGGCAATACCTCATCTGACAGAGAATTTCACGGGCTTCAATATGGAGTTAAACATTTTAGAATTTGTTTTTGATCGCTCGGTAAGTCTGGTAAGTCGAAAATTTAAATACGATTGATGGATGCTGTTTTAGAAATAACAGCGGCGCTGACTCTCAGCAGATAGGAAAATTTAGCTAACTGTCACTCTCAGTAAATCGTGCAATATAAAAGCTGTATATATGTTCTCCCTGTAAGTAACGTCAAATATTTTCTCTATGGCATTCCAGTTCTAATTCAGATGGAAGACAGAAAATTCATTATTCTTGTTTCTCTGATCGCTTTTACGAATAAATAATCGTGATACTCAAGAAATACACCGTTATGTTACACGTGATATTTCGAGGCTTTATCGGACTTGACGGAACTTGATCAGACTTTAGCGGACTTCAGAGGGCTTGACGGAACCTTCGGAGCTCAGAAGATCTGACAGGACTTTAAAGTCCGCTCAATATATAGCCTGCAATTTCTCCTTGCTTTAAAGACGCATTGATTAGAGCTAATATACAACAGAACAAAATTTTCTTCGTCACCTATTCACTGGGACCAAAATTTAAAACAGAATTTATTAAGGCTTGTCTCTTTTTCATTTAAATTCCCAAGGGCATTTTTTTTCTCTTACTCTTTTCTCTCTACAGTTGATACCAAAATACATGGATGACTCCAACTAGTCCTTGTACTACTATCGCTTTTGCTTAATTTAAATAACGCACTGATCACACGCATACAGTAATATACACACAATTCGAAAAATAAAAGAAATTCAGGTGTATCGAGCAAGATATTACCGACCATCAAAATGAAATTCAAATACGTTTAGTGACAAAGGTTGATGCCCAACGCTTCCAGATTGCCTGCAGTCATACAATCTAATAAGTGCACATGCTCATCTATTGACTGTATATTGTTTTTACTTCACTCTCGATGATGTGCATTGAAATCACCAAGAAAGACAAAATCGTGTCTTATCTCAGTTGTATGATTATAGGCAGGTGTTGCAGATAAAAATATCGTCGGTTAATAATTTCTGAAGTTTGATACCTTATTCATTTTCAATTTGTGAAGATTATTCATAGATGTGCCATGACTAGATATACACACTTACACCACAAAAAAAGGTGTTCTACAGATTTTTTTAAAAGTTCAGTACAAAATTTTGAACTTTAAAAGAGTTCTGCCAATGGATACTGATCTGTAGAACATTCGTTGTTTTTTTAAGTATACACATACACAACGAAATATTTGTTGACACATGACAAGTAAAATCAACAGGATTATTTGCAGAAGAAGAGGGAATTAATATTCTCAATATCGTTCTGGTTCAGGATTAAAGCTTAAACCAAAAAGAAAAGTAAAGTAAATGCTTTTCTTTTTATTCGGATTTCGAAGTATCTTTATTAAAAACGTCCTATAATTTTGATAATTCAGTTTAAATTTCATTTTTTTTCCTTTATTTTCTTTAACATCGGCGATAATAAAACAATTTATCATGAAATTTTCTGTTTGTCTTTCTTTTCATTAAAAAAAAAGCAAAAATAAAAGAATGAATGTGTAGCGATGATTGTATTTTTTCAAAAACTCAATAGAAAAAACAATCTTAGAGAACAATGCTCACAATGCTTTTTTTTTGCTTTTTTACAATGATCTTTTGTTTTCTCATAATAACCGTGAAAGAAAATAATAATATATGAATTTCGAGAATCACTATACGGAATAACATTGTATACTTCCTATATACACGTTGCGCAGATTAAAGACATATTTTCTTAAAATAATACATAACATTTTTTTACACATAAATAACTACAAGAAAACCAGATTAACTTAAAAGTATAACGAATTTTTTAAATATTAATAATATTACGATAAAAATATGGAAGAATCTAATCACTTAAGTCTTCTTGTTCGTCAACAGCTACAATAGAGTCAATACACTTTTTTTCTAGTTCCCAGTCTTCTTCATTTGATAGAGGCACGATAAAATCAAGTGATAAATGTCTACGTGGTCTATTCAACGTTCTAGGTTCAAGCTTTTTTGGAATAGCAAGAGGTGTTGAAACAAAAGGTTTTAAGGCTGATGTTAAAGGTTGTTTGTCAGTCGACCATATCGGTTTATTTATTTCATAGTTTGCACAGTTTACACAATATCCATCCCATTTTTTTGTCAAATTATAATCGCAACCACTACAAATCATAGGTTCATTCTCATCCTTCTTGCCTTTTGTTTTACTTTGTCTATCCTTTTCCATTAACTCAGTTACACCAGACCACCATTCATAGTTCTTATCTTGTAATCGACGTCTTGTAATACCTTGTTGCCTAGCTTGAACTATATCGAGCGCATTACATTCAAATTTAATGGGATTCTTCCTAACTAGTGATTTTAATTCAGATGCTTTAGCTTCTACTTGCTCTTTCGACCAGTATGAATTTTCTCCTGAATATTTTCTTATAGTAACATGTAAACGATTAATATAATTATCAATGGTCAATCCCGATTCCCATTTACATCCCTTAGCAACAATAGTATCTAGCAGTTTGTTCATTATACGTCTTACTTTTTCTTGAAAATCAGTTGATACACAGTTAACTTTCAAAACAACAAAGTCAATTCCTTCCATATCATCAATACGATTGTCACCCGAATGAATTTCAAGTTCATCAGCAATAAATGTTTGGGGTAGCCATTCCTGAATTTTTATTTGTTTTTCCAGTTCATTGAGAGCATTTCTCAAGTCTTCTTCCATTTTTTGCAATTCATAATGTTCTTTTACAGGGAATCTGAATTTTCCTAATGTTATATGATAATAACCATCCCACACATCTGGAAATGTCTCACCGTTTAGGGGTTCTAATAATTTAAAATAATGATTAAAAGCGTTTATACCGACTAATGTGGACGTTAACCATTTACAATGTTGAATAAGGATACCATGAGTAACAGGTGATATACGTAAATTAACAGCATATAAACCCCGTTCATCTTGACCTTGCAAAAAAGTGTTATTTTGATTTTGATTACGAATAGACCCGCGACCACGGCCACGGCCTTTTCCTCGTTGAGGCTTACGATTCATGTTATCAATCTTCAAAGAATAACAGAAAATTTTTTATGTATAATAAGTAAATAAAAGTGACAACTTTTCAAGGTTTTCTTTCATGAAATAGACTCCAATTTTTCAGAAAAAATATTTATTTTTCTTGATCTGGAAAAATTCTTTATTTTTCTCCGTTTTCATAACGCGAAAAACCGTATTTCTCAATATTGCCGGAAACTCTCTGCTCATGCCATCATCATACAAAAATTTTTCATTATGCACAATTTACTTATCATCCATCTAGAATTAATAAAGAATTGGAGAATCCCAACTGTGCAAGAGAAGAGAAAATACATTAGATGACCTTGAGACAGCTTATTTCAAGAAAAATAATTACAATATCTGAATTTTCCTTTTACTATGAAGAATTCAAGCTAGTAGAATAATTTTTACATCTCTTTTTTCTTTGTGGTAGATCTGTATTTACCTAGTTGTATGCATACTGTATGATGATAGAAAATGGAAAAAGAGAGGAATTATTTTTAAAAAAAGAGAAAGAACATGAGTAAAATAAATATTGTGATTGAAAAAAAAAAATTTTCTTATCCGCAGTCATTGCATAACTTTCACCTTTCACAAAACACTCGCTTCCCTCTCATTATTTTTCTCCTAAATAAAAAACTCTCTGAAATGAGCAATAAACAAAGCTGACTGACGTTTGTGTTAAATTTTTCAAGTTTATTGTCCTCTACGGTAAGCGTTAGCTTTGTTATGTGTCATCAAAAGAAGACTTTTAAATTCTTTCACGTTTTCTCTTTACGGTAATCCATTTTCCAAACTGAAATTCATCATTACTCATAGTTTCAAAAGAAAAAGAGAAGCAATAATAGCATTTTGATAAATCTAAACAAAATTGAAAAATGTCCCGCGAGAGTCCCGGCAGGATCGCGTGACGGAAGTCCCTATAAAATCTTCGCAACGAAAAATCGTAGACAGCTCGGAAACGTCTTAAATTAAATATTCAACTCTTTTCATTGCATTTTGAGATCTCTTGGTACTCTAGAAAATCTATCCTCAAAAGTTATGATTAAAACACCGCTAGCTATATTTCGATTTATTTCTTGGAAGAGTGGATCTCGCCGTTTTAATCATAACTTTTTGAGGTTACATTTTCTAGAGTTTGAAGAGATCTCAAAATGCAGAAAAGAGTTGAATATTTAATTTAAGTCGTTTCCGAGCTGTCTATGATTCCACTATGTTTTACTCGGACTTTTCTTCGAGAACATAGTGCAATCAAATTTTGATGTTCGTCGAGCAGACAATGCTTTTGTCATGTTATAATCTCATCTGAAAAGGAAAAATCAGTATGAATACAGAGGCAGGTAGTAAATTTAGAGGATGTACACAGCAAATTCAGCCCTCTGTTCCCTTACCTAAATAGGACTCATTTTCGCTAGTCACAAAGTTATACTATCGGATTTTTGGACAAGTTTTCTTTTGAGACACATCTCTTTCACGCGTTAACTAAGCCCGTATATGTCACAAAGAAGAAAGAAAAACAAACAGAAGGGTCTCTTAAAAAGAATGTTTCTTAAGATAGCGGAGACGCTGATTTCATCATGTTTTATCCGGTTTTCTCTTCGGGAACGTAATGCAATCAGGGTCAATCATTCACCTCAGACTCACTTTGAAGTTGAGATCAAAACTTGTAGACAGTAGTTTTATTAACACGCCCTTTCTTTGTCTAAATCCTTTCTACTTGCCATAAGAACCATATGAATAGTTTTTTCTCATGTATGTCTCAATTATGGTTTACCATATAACTGGCATTTGATCGCAGAATAAAAGTGAGAGTGGTTAAATGGTTTATAGCTTGCCTGTGAGTTTTACCGTAAGGTAACGTTTGCCATATGCGAAGAAAACATTCACGCTTGGACTTTCAGAGAATGTATATCCGTAGATATTATCGCCAGGATCAGTACATTAGTAGAGCCAATCTAATATTCCGCGAATGAGGCGAAATGGCTGAGTCCCAATCCTCCGTGCGTCAAACAGAACCGAACTGATCATCGCTTCATCCTGAGAATCACTAACGGCAAAGCGATATTACACCGAGGATACTCACAATTGTTATAACATCAACCTTTCATGCATTTCTCATTGCTGTGCAGTTTTATTTTTGAAATCTTTACACAGCAAACATTAACTGAGTCTATACATTAAAAAATCTCCTAGGCTTGGTGAACAATTTTTTAAAACAATTTTTGATACCCAAAATGAATGAAAAACTGCAACTATGTGATAGTAAATAGAAAGATAATAATAGTTCGAGAATTATTTTCGAGAATTTTTCATTCTTTTCTGTGACATATACGGACTTATTAATCTGTGAAAGAGATGTATCTCAAAAGAAAACTTGTCCAAAAATCCGATAGTTTAACATTGTGACTAGCGAAAATGAGACCTACTTAGATAAGGGAACAGAGGGCTGAATTTGCTGTGTACGCCTGAATTTACTACCTGCTTCTTTATTCATACTGATCTTTTCAAAATATAAAATTTTTTGTGTATGGGACTCTCGCGGGACTTTTGTGGAGTCCCGCGGGAATCCATCGGGACTCCAGTGGGAGTTTTTTACAAAACGGGACTCCCGCGGGACTCTCGACTAGGGCTTTTTCCAAAATTTTCCGGAGTTGTTTGTTGATGCGAAAAGAAGTACAAAACCTATGAAATTAACATAAACAATATTATAACTATTCCAAAGACGGAATTCGACCACTAAGAAGTTTTATTTTTAGTTAACATGTCATATTATAATAATAAGCGCGATAGAAGCAGCAACTATTATCGAGGACGAGGTAGCAACTATCGAGATTGTTCAAATTATCCCAGTTATCAACCTAATCTTACTAAAGAAGAATATGATGTGATGAATATTGGTTACTCTGATCTATTCAACAAAGAATATAGTTTTCCTCTATTAAACACGTCAAAAGACGAAACTCTAATAACTAATAAGTTATTTACTACTGAGCGATGGTCTATACCCGAAATGATGAAATTAAAAGATTCAATTAATGAAACACGTAATCGTTTAAATGAAAAAGATATTTCTGTATGGCATGTTCATACTCGAAAAACAAATATGACTGGTCAGGTTGTGTTTACACTGCGTAATAATTATAACATTGAAATGTGTACTAACGCATGGATTAAAATGGCAGAACTACTTCACAAATATTCGCTAATACCGCCTAATCTATTAAATAAATGCTTTCGTTCACTTCATATTTGTGAAGCACCTGGTGCCTTTATTTGTGCTACGAATCATAAACTCCGTCAACTCTATGGTAATCGAGTTCAGTGGAATTGGACAGGTCTGTCATTGAATCCTTACTACGAGGGAAATGATAATTCTGCAATGGTTGATGACGATCGATTTATTGTCGAAACATATAAATCATGGTATTTCGGTGTAGATGATAGTGGAAATATTTTAAAACAAGAGAACATTCATAGTCTCTGGAAACAGCCTAAAGCTGCTCTAGTTACAGCCGATGGTTCGGTCGATACCTCAGGTGATCCAAACGAACAGGAATCAATTGTCAGTGAGCTTCATTATGCAGAAGCAGTTACTGCACTGGGTGCTCTTGAAAAAGGTGGCGCATTAGTGTTGAAAATGTTCAATGTTTTTGAGTGTGAAACAATTTGTCTTCTTTATATAATATCTCTTTACTTCAAAGAACTATTTGTTACTAAACCGGCTACATCGAAAGCTGGTAATGCTGAAACATATATTGTTGCTCGTGGATTTTGTGGTATTTCAAACGATATACTCGAACATCTATTATATTTTGTCTCCCCCGCATTTCCAGAAAATAAGGCAATATTACCCCAAAACTCGATACAACAAAGTTTTCTTGATTCAATGTACGATTGTGCCAAATATTTTACTGAACGACAAAAACAGTCAATCGAAAGAAATTTAGCGCTCGAGCGATTGTGGAATTTTAATGTACAGAAAGCCGTAGCTAATCAAGTACGTCAAGTAACTAATGAGTACATCAGCAGATATGGTGTTAGACAAATAGATTCAAGGGATCGAATTGTAACAAAGATAGAACTGGATGGCTCAGCTAAAAATCTCGGTAATAGTGCTTCATTAGCTCGAGGTGGACTAAAACAACGGACAGGCGGTACTCTGGAGGATAGACGGAATAATAAAAGAGACAGGGAAGAATTTTTGAGTGGACACCAGGAGTCAGATACACAAATATCAAAGAAAATTAATTTGGGTCAAGACCGTAGTGTTGTTCCTGAACGAGATGTATCGTCATCATCCTTAGAAGTTTCGAGCTCAGTAACATCATCTGCCAGTGATATATCTCTCGGTATGAAACTGTTGAAAAAAGCTGGATATAAAGAAGGTCATGGTTTGGGTGTAGCTGAACAGGGGCGAGTTACACCGATTGAAGTGTCTCGACGTGAAGATCTAGTAGGATTAGGTCATCATAAAGGTATCATTGGTCGTGAAGAAGTAGATGATAGAATGCCCACAATACCTGATGAACCATTTTTTGAGATGAACAAACGGCCACTATATGTTGCCATATATCCTGATTCTAATCCTATTGTCCCTAATGCAATATTTCAAGGTGATAAAATTAAATCTGTGATAACCTCTCTATTTGTTCGACCTGCGGAACTTGAAGCTTTGTATAAAGCACGAGAAGAAACTCATCGAGTTCTGATTGAACCAGATTTATTCAAAGCATATTCGAAAGAGTTATTCCTAAGTGATTGTTTGGAGAAGATTCCGTTCGTCGTGCATTTCAAACATCCAAAAGAAGCTTTACAATTATCATCGTTGGATAAACAATTCAACCTTTTCCCACAAACAGCATCACAAGATCAGTTTCCCATTATTGTTATTGCAGATAATCAAAGTGCAGAGGGTTTTATTGAGTATATTTCATGGCAGCAACAAAATCTTATTGATGCACATATCTTCTCTCATCTGCCAACGACATCATCATCATCCACCCAAATCACTTATCATTCAGTTGATAATCAATTGTTGAAGGTTGAGCATTTAGTTCAAACAAAAGTTTCTCTTTTTATTGGCGAAGTCTCAGTTTCGTCTGATATTATCATGAAATCTCGTTATGTTGAATATGACACTAAATTACAGTTTGCTCAGATATGTCGAAATGCATTAATATCGCTAGCTGAAAATGGCCATTTTGTATGTAAAATAACCGATGTATACACTAGATTTACTGCTGGAATAATCTATTTACTCTATAAAACATTTAAAAGTGTTAATTTATGGAAAACATTCACATTAAATCCAACTCAACCTGATCGTTTTCTTATATGTCAAGGTTTTGTCTCTTCTAAATGCAAAGGTTTTATCGATCATTTAGATAATATTATTTCATTATTAAGGGGTGGTAAAGGCGATCTTCTTGAAATTGTTTCTATCACTTGTTTATTAGAACGACAATTTCAAACGTATTTGGCTGATTCAGCTCAAGAATTAATTAAGCGAGAGATAGCAGCATTAAGGAAATTATTATGGTACCATAAAAATGATAAACTATCATGTATGAGTGTTGATAAATATCTATCGGATGCAGCTAAACTATTGAATAGAACACGGAGAGCAGTAGTAGAACCAGATGAAGGTATTAAATTGCCTGAAGGTTGGTCAAAGCAGTTCAGTGAAAAACAACAACTATTCTATTATTTTAATTCTAATACTGGAGAATCAATCTGGGAATCGGATTGGAAGCACTAGACTGATTAGATTTTGATTTTAATTCTTGTATTTTGGTTTTTTATTCTCGTGATGCGTTTTGATTTTCTGTATTCATTATTAGTCTTGATATACCCCTGGCAAAAATAAGTTTCCCTCTGTATTTTGAGGATATTGTTACCAAAAGAACATATTTTTTAAAAAGTAACGACATATTCGGGAAGCCCGTGAAATCTTACATCTTCCTGTATATTTATATTTTTGTTTGGATCGCTATGTAAAAAAGTTATTCCAAAGAAATGAACACACCTTCCGTACCTCATTTCCACACACTTAATATAATCATTGTAATCTCATATAGCTTTTTAAGATTTTTTAAGTATTCAAAATAGGTTTTGAAAAAAGTAATCACATATTCTGATAGAGCGTGAAATTCTCTATCACCCTGTATATTTACCTATTTACTTACATTCATTGATGGAAAAATAATTTAAGTACAATGAACACATCGTCAATTGACAAGTACCAAAAATCTGTATTTTTCGTTACTTTTGGAGTTTTCTTTTGAATTCATTATTCCTATGAGAAAGTTTTT